TCATCGTCGCAGGTGCTGTCCTTGCTATGGCTATTCCTGGCTTGGCCCTTTTTCCTCCTAAGCTTAAGTTCTTGATTGAGGCTGCTTTAATCAGCCACGCTGTGCTGCTATGCCACATTGAGAATCGATTCTTCAATTACAGCAGCATATATTATTATGGTCTGGAGGATGATGTGATGTACCCCAGCTACATGGTTATATTAACAACTTTTCTGGGCTTGGCCCTGGTAAGGAGGCTTACTTCGGATAGCAGAATTGGGCCCAAGGCAGTCTGGATCTTGACTTGTCTGTATGTTTCAAAGCTAGCAATGTTATTTATCACATCGAAGTCAGTTGTATGGGTCTCAGCTGTCCTATTATTGGCAATCTCTCCTCCTCTGCTTCTTTACAAGTATCAACTCTATCTCAATAGCTTTTCATAAGTTTTATTACGAACTTTGCTACTTTTGGTCAGTCAATGAACTGTCTCACTTTGTATCTTGTAGGGACAAGTCAAAAACAGCCTCAAAGATGAAACCTCAGCAAGGATATATGCATGCTTTTGTGGTTGCTTTGGCTGTCTGGTTTTGCCGTGAAGCCATATTTGAATCTCTTCAATGGTGGTATGGCAGACCTCCAGCTGATGGCTTACTGTTGGGTTTCTGCATCGTTTTGATAGGAGTGGCTTGCATTCCTATTGTTGCCCTCCACTTCTCTCATGTGCTGGTACGATACTTATTGTCGCTTGTTGTTGTAGCTATTTTAAGTTCTTAGACTTCAGTTCATGGAGAAATGGAACAATTCCGGATATCTGATGTTTGCTACAGCATATGTTAAATTCACAATTTCACAGAATTATTTGAAATATCTCATTTCTTTTCTGTTGGCTAGAAAATTGTATGTTGGTTTTCATCAATTCGTGCCTTTTGAGGGATACAATAACATTAGAAAATGGAAGATCTTGTCTGACATCCATAATTTAGTCATGGTAGTCCTTTATTACGTGATATGATAATCATGTAATATAACTTGCAAATTACATAGAGTGATTCTGTCTTGGTATTTCAGGTAGTATATCTTGTAGGTTCAGTAACAAATACGAAGTACTTATTTTAAAACAATTATTTATGAAAGCCATACTTGGTCAGTTATTTGATGCCAATACGATGTCTACCATGATAGTTGGGCATGCATGTGATTTTGTTATTAGTTTATCTTGATAGAAAATTTACTAAAAAAATTTCCTCTCAAAGTAATATTTTTCAGTTTATATTTCCAGCAGCTGCCTAACTGCATTCTATGGTGTTATTTCTGGTGATGCCATGACTTGCTAAGAGTCTAGAGCAATGCCTGTACTTCGAAGGTCCTTGAAGTTTCATAAGTTAATAGTTGATTAGGAGTCTTGTACACTTTGGACTTAGACTTGTTGTAATCAGCTCCGAGAAGCTTATTCAATGATGTTGTGTGAAATGTGATTTGTGAAATACCAATATGTGATGTGAATTGAACCTTACCTCTTGAGAGCCATCTACAAGATACTCCCTCTGTCCTATTTTTTTGCCCCATTTGACTTTTCACGGTCTCCAAGACGTGTCTTATAAGGCACATATCTTTAGTTTCATACACGTAAAAATTATAAAAACGTGATATTAATGAAATATGCAATGAGCCGAATCTAACAAGATCACTCATGAGTCATGACTATATTATCTCTTATAAATTAACGGTAATTTACAGTCAAAGTTTACAAAGTTTGACCCAAAAAAAGACAATGGGGCAAAAATAAAGGGACAGAGGGAGTACCTTTTTCTAGGCATGAAATGTCCAGCATTTTATTCTGTTAATTTAGTTGTAAATGCTTCTACTCGTTCTTCACATGAAGGTTCGTTAAGGAGATGCAGGTAGAAGCTTCTTGTCAATTAATTCGGTTATTTTTATACATAATAGAGTGTGTGACATTATGTACTCGTTTAGATGTTTTGAATTAGATATTTTAAATGTCATTTCATTAAATCATCAGTGAATATTTCATGCTGGGAAAGGGGTGTCTTAATTAGTAAAGATCTAATGATTTCTCCTTGTTCTTTGTGTAGATTGCCAAAAGGTGCTTAGTATTGGTGGTGGCAACTGGACTTCTTTTTATCTTGCTTCAGCCACCCATCCCATTTTCATGGACTTATCATTCTGACCTCATTAAAGCTGCTCATCTGACTGGAGACGACATTTCTATTTATGGCTTTGTGGCAGCGAGACCTACATGGCCTTCTTGGCTCCTAATTGTGGCTATCTTACTCACACTTGCTGCAACAACCTCATTAATCCCCATCAAGTACATTGTCGAGTTAAGAACCTTTTATTCCATTGCTGTCGGTATTGCTGCGGGTGTCTACATATCTTTTGAGTTCTTCCCTCAAGCTTTTGTCCTGCAAGCCCTAATTGTTTTGACTATGATCTGCACCTCGGTGTTTGTTGTCTTCACGCATTTCCCATCTGCTTCTAGCACAAAAGGTTTGCCATGGGTTTTTGCTCTCCTTGTTGCACTTTTCCCTGTGACCTATTTATTAGAAGGTCAGGTTAGAATTAAAAGCCTTGTAGATGGTGGAGATATCACAGAAGAAGAAAGGAGACTAACTACAATATTGGCTGTTGAGGGTGCAAGGACGTCACTCCTTGGATTATATGCTGCAATCTTTATGCTTATCGCATTGGAAGTAAAGTTTGAGTTGACTTCTTTAGTGCGGGAGAAAGCTCTTGAAAAGGGTGGTTACAAGCCGAGTCAATCTGGTCAAAGCAGTTTGGCAAATTTGCCTGCCAAAATGAGATTTTTGCAGCAGCGTAGAGCTTCCATGGTGCCAACATTTACTATTAGGAGGATGGCTGCAGAGGGAGCCTGGATGCCTGCAGTTGGTAATGTTGCTACTGTTTTGTGCTTTGCAATATGCTTGATCTTGAATATTAATCTCACTGGTGGTTCAAATCGTGCTATATTCTTGCTGGCTCCGATCTTGCTGCTACTCAATCAGGATTCTGATTTTGTTGCTGGGTTTGGTGATAAACAGCGGTATTTTCCTGTTGTTGTTGTTATTTCATCCTATTTAGTCTTAACTGCTTTACACAGCATTTGGGAAGAAGTGTGGCATGGAAATGCTGGTTGGGGGTTGGAGATAGGTGGACCAGACTGGTTTGTTTCCGTGAAAAATGTGGCTCTCCTGATTCTGACATTCCCAAGCCATATTCTTTTTAACCAGTTTGTGTGGAGCTATGCAAAGCAGAAGGATATGGCCCCTTTGCTTACTCTACCTTTAAATCTGCCAGCCATCATAATTACAGATGTGATCAAGGTCAAAATTTTAGGGCTGTTGGGAGTTATTTATTCCTTGGCCCAATATCTAATATCAAGACAACAATACATTTCAGGATTGAAATACATCTAGATATGCACAAACTTTGTACAATACTTTTTTGCCATCATCAGATGGGAATTTCAGGTTTGTCTCTGGCCACTCATCATTTTAGCGTAGTTTGAGTTGTACATTAGTTGCTTGAGCGGCTGTTGATTTTGAAATCAATATATTAGCGCTCTAAAATGAATATATGCAAGTTCCTTTGCTGTGCAATTGTGGTTAAATCGTATTTGCTGTTACTTATATTATGCCTGAAGCACCTGTTAGTGTACTACTCATGGAGTGGTACTGTGCACTCCACCTACGAGAAGTGAAGCCTAGAATGGTGCCAGCTGAGTGTTGGTGTGTGTGTGTGTGTTTTTTTTTTTTTTTTTTTTTTTGGGGGGGGGGGGGGGGTGGGAGGGGGGAGGAGTTGTAGTGTTGTAGGAAAGCTGAAACAACATGACTTGCTGCTTTCAAGATGTGAGGTTGTCAACACATTTGCTATGCACCTGAAAATATCAGGCCGATGCATTGGTATAGTGATTTTTTGTATTCCCTTTTAAATTGATTTTGTGTTGTCTCCATATTTGTTGTCTGCTTCCATCATTGTGCCTTGTGTAAAATCTCTCAAGAAAACCTGTGAACTTGGATGAGCAAGTGTCTTGGCATTGAGAAAAAGCCGTAAGTACACAGCTTGACAGTAACTATTTGGAATGAGCTGATGGCATGTCCTAGCTTTGAGGATAATTGTTGGAGCATGAAGTGTGGCAGAACTGTTTCAAATTAGGCGCTTTGCAGGCATGTGCAGACTGGGGTATTGTTATAGTGATAGAAGTGATAATGGCTGACTTTGTTGGTTTGTTTGTTAAACCCTAAACCTTAGATTCTACTGGTATTCTTTTTTGGGTGCAAAAGCAAAAACAAACTTTATGAAGAATTCCCCAAAAAAGGCAAAGTCCGGATAGTACTTCGGGGCATAGCTATCCCTATGATATCCTTATGGATGATACAGCCCAATTTCAGCAAAGGGACTTCAATTAACTCAACCTAGGTGCCTTGAACCACACTTTGATTAGCTAACCAATCTGTGTTTCTATTCCTCCTTTTTATTATTTTTTAATTTCTAATTTTTGTGGAAAAGATTACAAAGTCGACAAACAAAAGGTCTGCGTGCTTGCGCAACAAGCAAGAAAAACTTGTTGAGCACCAGTGCGCCTTTGCTAGTAGACCACGGCGTGTCCGCACGTGGTGGCACGTCCGTGGGGCCTGGATGCGCAGATTTTGTGACCCATGTTTTCCTCATCGACGCTTGATGAGTTGTCATATTTGCGGCGCTCTTATAACATCTATTAGCGTTTTGATTGGAGAGTAATTTAAGGTTTTATTAGGGTAATTTTTATGTTACAAAATAATCATTGTAATTCATTAATAAACTAGAAGACTCCTTGTATATGCCCAATAAGAAAAACTTTCGAATTCTACCCCTATAGAATAGGTCTAGTTGATCAAACACGTAAAATCTTGTGTTTTATTTATCTTCTTTATTGCTTTCTTTATTTATTCGTTGATTATTGTTCCGTACAAATCAAATACTACACGGGCTATTTCACAACAAAAGGTAGCTTTAGTTTGTCCTCAATTGGCATTAGTAAGGTGACGGGCAAGATCCTTGAAGATAGCAAGTCCAAAGTGTAGCAATTGATGAGGTTCTGGAGCATCTTCATTCATCTTCTCATACTCGAGAGTAATTTTTACCACACAACATGCATGTCCCTTTGGGATTATATACAATGTGCTTGAGAATGTTTTGCAATGAGTTTTCATTATATCTCCATCAATTGCACTACGATGTATGATCTTGTTCTTCTCATCATTTGCTTCAATCCTCTCTATAAGGTATTCTGACTTCCCATCTGTTAAATTGCATCAATCATAAATTAGATTCAAACATAATACTTTAGACCATCAAATGGAATTGAATAGGAACTTCTATCAATTGTACTCTTTCGTCCCAAAATAATTAATATATTTGATTTTTTTTCCCCTAACTTTTCAACTATATACAAGAATATGCGTAACAATAAACTCCAAATAGAAGAAGTGCATACTACATAAACAGTAAAATTAAAACATTATTTTTGTTAATGATTGAAATAAAATAAATGTGAGGAAAAAAAAAAGATTATTAAGAGGATTTAAGTAAAAAATAGAAAAATTTACCAATAATTTAGTCCCATCTTCTGGTGCTACCCACACTTTCCCAATTACCTTGGTGTGCTTCAACCCTACACATGTTGGAACATATGTTGGGAATATTGGGTTGTTTAGCCATGTTCATTTTAAATAGCATTTCTGCTGAACATTTCACCTCCACTTCTCCCTCTAATTTTCGTAACTGTGCCATTTTTTATTTTTTTTACTTAAATTGCTACAATTTTAAGATTTTTCTTCTTAATATGATTATAATTAGTGACTATGTATATATGAAAACGTGAGATAGATATAGAAGATTAGAAAAACATGCATTATTTATGAAGAATATTCAACATTTTGAAGGTAATTATGCTCTTCGTTTTGCTCCACTCCTTTTATCAAACTTTGAGCTTGCTATGAACGCATTAATAGATTACTTATTCGGTTATTCCCACTAATAGTTCCTTTATTGAAAGGAAACGGAAAAATAAGAATAATGTCAAAAATAGAATACATAGAAATATAGTACCAATTGTATCATATAAAATATTATTGTTCACTACGACGCAATTTTTATTTTTGAAATGTTAATTTTTTTTTTATTTTTATTATTTTTTTTATATTGATTGCTCACGAAAAACCTCCCCCCCCCCCCTCCTTCCAAGGAATCAATCTCTTAAAACACAGGTTGTGCTGTGTGTTGTGTCTCAACTCTTATTGCACAACAAACATGTACTCATACTAAAAATTATGTAAACAGATGCATACAATAATTCAAATTTGATAATTACAATACTATTTACAACTGCACAGGATGTCAGGATCACAAGTGTTCCCCCAGAAAATGGCTATATAGTATGAGTTCATAGTGTAATAAAAATTGCAGAGGACCAAACCATATGAAACAAAGTCGTCATAATCTACAGAAGTCCAGTGAATCTGTGATTGAAATATTGAACGCTGCATGGGAAATGAATGGATATGCACCCTCTTGCAGCATAATGATTCAGGTTTAGGTTATGCGATTGGTGATATGAAGGTTTTGGCTTTTGAAATAAGATCAGCAGGGTAAAAGGATTTGATTCCGAAGAAAAGAACCAAAATCAGAACTAACAAAAGGAAAATGGGGGCTGGATAAGCAGCATGAGAGCTCAAGAGAATATGACTATGTTCAATGCCGTTTTCCATCCCTATCCATGACTTGAGGGTGAAAGGCCGATCAACAACCTCCAAAATTCTAGCTCCTCTAGCCCAATTCCCATAGCCACCATAACCGGTGTGTCTAGCATAGCACAGCCACAGTTTCTTGTAAGGGCAACACCAATCATTGCCATGGTCATGCCCTACAAATACAGCCTGCACCAAAGAAAAAAAATTGCTCAATATAAAATCCAACTGTGCCCAAAACGGCCAAAAGGTTTAGTTTGGTGGACCAATTCATCCTGGACCTTCTATTTATGCAGAATAGAACATAACAGAAAATTGCCTTTGAACTTTTACCTAATTCATTGAACAGAAATCTAAATGTAAGTTCTATGAACATTTACCTAAAAGTGTTATGTTGTTCTGTTCGACAAAAGGTAAGTAGTTTGCTTTTGAACTTTTAGCAGAAGTCCTAAGAGAATATTATTATTGAAAAATGACTTATGCATCTAATGTTTCTTCTATTAGAGTCCAGCCAACATTGCTTGTGAGCTAGTAGTTCAGGATAATAGGAGATCATGATGCTACGACGCTACATCAACCTTCCAAAGTTCTTGCATGCAATTATACATAAAACAAGCCTTTTTGAAAATTTTGGTTGAATGTAGTGTCACTCAATCCGCCGTTAAACCTCGCAATGGGGATCCAACTCTCACATGAGGGTCCGTCACCCACTGTTAGGAAAAATATGTAACAATCCTTGTGTTTACACACCTTCAAATACATAAAGGAGCTATGAAAGTTCTCCAAAGACCGGTAGGTACTTGCAAAAGTTTTAAAATAATGGCTTTGCTGCCTTTGCAGTCGATTATAAGCATGAACAGAAATTTCAATTAATGCAAATAAGTACATAACATTTTGAAACAATGGCCCCTTCAAATACTATATGATGGTGAATTTCAGTCACGCAACTCAAATGATGATCCAAAAACATATCATCTATAGCATCATCTCTATCAACATGTACCTTGCTCCAAGTAAAAAAGGTCAGAGAATGCAAATTTGCAGACATAAATCCTCTGAATGAACCTCTTATATACTAGTAACTCATTACTCAGGCAAAGCAAGCATATAAATTAATATGTTCCCAGAGCACCAACTGCCATTTTGTATCAAGTATAATGAAAAGCAATCACGTATACATGACATTACCTGGACTGAAGGCCGATCTTTCAAAATCTTCATGATTCCCTCCTCAGATTCTTGAGTACATACCCATTCCTTGTTTATTGAGCCCACACAAGGCAGAGGAACAAAAAACAACCAAGGGGCGGCCTTCTGATACGCCTTACTAGGTATGTGCCAAAAGAAAATTTCGGGAACCCTGCAAAGTTTTTACAAAGCTCCGTTGATTCCCATCTAATGAAAGAAAAACAAAACTAACATTGCCCAATGCCTTTACAAAGACTTCTGTAGTTTTGCTGAAGGCAGGGTAAGGGATCAAATTCATACAGCCTCCCTGCAATAATAAAAATAGAAGCTGTTTCTATTAAACTTTTTGATCTGAAACTACATAGTACTTCACAATAACAAAGAAACACAAATATTTTAATTATTATTTTTAATTCCGGGGATTATATTCAGGGAATTATAACCCACAGTCAACGAAAAGTAAGATTTCCAGTTTCAGTGACAATGGATTCAACATAGGAGCTTTATACCATATATCTATAGGTGAAGTAGTGAGCATAAAAAATTGCATTATTTACACTTCAAATAGAATTTGGGCAATGTATGAAAGGATGATCTGAGCTTCCAGTTTTTAGTACCTATAATCGGGATTAATTTCTTCAGATATGCCTTTGAGCCACTCTACTTGAGCACTTGAAATTACTTCTGGATAAGAACCTCCTCCAGAATCAAGAAAATACATAAATGCTACAGGAGACTCTGGATTTCCTGACGTGTATCAGCAGAGTTAAAAAGCATAGTTGGGTAAGACTTATTTGAAAGGGTAAAACATTTACATACCAGGTCAAGTATAAAGCCTTAACAACTCAAAAAGATGAAACCTAAAAGTCCGAACCATCCTTTGTAAACTTTATCACCCTAAAAGCTTATGGAACCATTTAGGAACAGTCATGTTTATGACAATGATTGGCAAGAATTTTGTCCTTTTGTTTGGATGTTCTTAGAGGCAATCATCATTATTCAATATTATCATGCCAGTCGAACATGACTTACATGAGTTGCATCTCCACAAACTCAGGTAAGACTTATGAGTTATTTACCTTGAAGCTCAAATGCAACATCACAAGCCTTGTATTTGGATGTTCTTTGAGGCAAATAAATACAAGGCTTACATGATCAAATTTAGGGGTGTTAATTTCAACTAAGCTAGCTGGCAAAGTCTCAGGGGTTGGCACCCTAGTATCGGATTAAGGTTAGTACGCTATATAAATTCATGTACATTTTATGCTTGCCCTCCCAGGCCAATTTGTTTTTGAGCAATTTAATATACAGAATTACTTATTTAACCTTTTTTTTCTTTCCTTTTTTGTGTTTTTAAGTTGTGAAGGTACTCAACAATGGGGCAGTCATTTGAAGTAGCTCATTCAACCATAGCAATCAAAGAAAAATGGGGAAGATACGACGATTTCCTCAAGCCTGGATGCCATTGTGTGCCTTGGTTATGAAATAAAAGGCCGTCTCTCCTTAGGTGTGAAACTTAATGTTCGTTGTCAGACCAAAACTAAGGTTAACGTTACATACCAAATCACTAATCATATACTTGTATTTGTACATGTATATCAAATTCCTTAATCATTTGTAATCATATAGTTAATAATTATAAATGACATGAAAATACAGTATTGCCAATTCAAAGGCGAAAGGTCTACATAGGTTTTGGGAACGCAGTATATATTGAAAATGGCATAATTAACCACTGTGATCTTCTCAGGATAATGTGTTCGTGACTGTGGTTGCATCAATTATATACCGTGTGATGAAAGAGAACACGGCAAATGCTTTTTATAAACTTAGCAACACCACTACTCAGATCCAAGCCTACGTTATTGATGGTATGTAATGCATAATTATGTAACTGAGTGGACATATACACTAAATCTCATGTTTAACCCTTGTAATCTGTCACCTCGCTTTAGGCTATGTCAACTTATATATATAAGATTGTTGATACTCATATAGTCGACATCGAGCCTGATGCTGAGGTGAAGACTCCAATAAAGGAGATCAATGCAGGTATATTATACCTGGTATAACTTTTTAAGGTTATTGTTACTATGTTGATTATGGTCACATGTTTTATACACTTCATTTATTAAGCAATCTTTATGTTTAATTTAAATCCTAGTTCATGTTTAGAAAATTGGGACTGATATTCTAAAACAAGTCTTGAACATAATCTACCAAAGCACCAAGTAGTATTAGTATTAGCATTGTAAATTAAGCAATCTTTATGTTTAATTTAAATCCTAGTTCATGTTTAGAAAATTGGGACTAAAAGTCTAAAACAACTCTTGAATATAATCTACCAAAGCACCAAGTAGTATTAGTATTAGCATTGTAAATTAAATGTTGTATAAACTTATATGTCAATTTAAATGTAGCTGCAAGGCTAAGGGAGGCAACAAATGAAAAGGCGGAAGCAGAGAAAATACTGCAAATCAAGAAAGCTGAGGGGTAAGCAGAGTCCAAGTACTGGACTTTTCTTATCAAGTCATCTTCCATTTTATAAAGAAGTTAGTTGACTAAAATATTTGTTGATGATTCCTTGGAGCTTGAAAGTCAATATACATTAGCCGCCTTTTTAAACCTACATGATCCGTTGTTAGAGGATGGGTGACTAGACTCACTAAGTCTATAATTTATATGCATGCTAATTACGCCAAAGAGCAAGTATATATAATATATATCACCAGATTTACCACTAATAAAGATGGCCTTATACTCTTATGAGTACACAGTTTACCACAGCTTACCAACTTACTACTAAACAAGAACACATTCTTCTGTGTTGTAGCATTATCAAATTATTATCATTACAAATTCCAAGTTCTACATATATATGTGCCTTCTGCTCTAGATCATCTTTGCTTCTTTAATACATCACCAAGGATTCTGCACTTTAGGGACCGTCGATTCTTCTTCTTCATCAGATTTTTTTAACTCATGGACATCATACCTACATAAATGGTTAAATTGAGTAAGTACCACCTAGTAGTCGGTTATGTTAATTATAGCATAGGGTCCTACGAAGTATATCTTAAGGCCTTAACCCCACAATGAGAATCGAACCCCTAACCTCCCAAGGGGAAGGCCGATTCACCAACTATTGATGATCCCCTAGTTCTCAAACAGGCATGATTGTGGAAGTGTTACTAGAAGTAAAAATAAACTTATATGGAGCCTTACAAAAGAAAAGATACTTACTACATCCATCGCTTCTATGAGGCTACATCTTTGGATCCGCTATGAGTTCGTCTTCTGTTAGTTTTTGAACCTACACCTGCACGTCCTGCAGACATCTTGTTTGGCATTGGAGAAGCTGCTGAAGAATGAGTTTGATTCAATGATTTCTCCTTAAGGGGACTCACTGGTCTGGATTTCAGGACCTGAAGAGAAAGCTTTTTAGAAGGCGATGGAGCTTTTGCAAGTGATAAGTTCTGGTTTATCTTTGACACTTTCTCACTTGAAGAAGAGCTGTTTAGGAGAGGGGTGTTTGTGGAGGCCTTTACTGCTACTCGACTTTCAACAATACTAGAGGCATTCTGCTTCTTCTCAGAGGTGCAGTCTGAATCATCAGAAGATAAAGGACTATCCATATCATAAAGCAGATTATCTGACATTGTAGGTAGCTGTTTCTTATCCAAGGTCGGCCCACAGAATGACCGCCTTTTGGCTCTTGTTAAGTTCACCACCTGTAATAATGTAAAGCTTTAGTATCGTTGAATATTGATGTTCCTTCCATTCAAGTTGTAGACTTAATATTGCTTTAGCTCACAAACATTAAGGATGTAGGGAATAAAATCTTATTGCAGGCATTCATTAGGGATCAGAATTTGGCAACTTATTAGAGAAAAAAGAGTTGAAAACGATTGAAGTTGTTTCAGCAAAGTGCTCTTACCTTCTGTTCCAGAACAATCAAGTCCTTTTTCAACTTAGTAATAATTGTGCATTTTCGACGAATAACTTCTTCAAGTTCTTCGATTCTCTGTCAAGAAAAGGAATGTGTCTTTACTGAGCCATCCTTGATTCACAAATTCACAAATTAAAGAAAAACAGAAACAAATAGTAAGGCATATCTTACTTTAGAAGTGACAACATCTTTTGAACGAATAAAAGAAGAAAGCTCCTTTATAGCAGCATCTTTTTCTTCACATTCCCTCTTGAGATTATAAGTATCTTGCTCTATTGCTAAGTTATTCAGCTGAAAAGCACACCCAACATCGACATCCAGTGTAAGTTTTGCTCGAAAGGCAAAAATAAGTAATCCTTTGCTCAAAAACAGATGCATATACATCATATATAGAAACTACAAAAACCATGGTTATTTCATTACTTGTAAATCTGCCACTGAAGTGACACTTGAAGCCCAATCAGACAAATCTGACATACGACGTTCCTCCTGCTCTGCTTCATTAGAAATGGACAGTCTATTTTTAAACATCTCGTCACCACTAGCAGCATTCACCAGTGAGTTTCCCTGGGACATTACAAGCATGTCAAATTCAGCTTCTAACAAGTCTGAGGAACACAAAATTCTGTTTCCTTACCCTATCTTTTTCTTTGTTCTAACAAGCATGCAATGAACTACCACTAGGAAGTACTTTGTAACAAAACAGGCAAATAATAGAGTCTCACTGAAACATCATTCAACTCGGCTCGGCGTTGATCACAGAACCAGCAGTCTGTGCACATGGAGTCAGATTTGCTAGCCAAAGATGATCTTCTAGACGAAAAATCCATTATCTTGGATGCTGAAGAATCAACTATTAGTTGAGGCTGAACTTTCATAGTATTCATTTGATCACACAATTCATCCAGCTTTTGCTGCATTCTCATCAATATATCATCCTGCAAGAGCATAAAGACACACTGATTAGTAACCTCAACTTAAATTTTTCAGTAACACTCAAAACTCAAAAGAATGCACTCCCTATTACTTCAATCACATTCACATTTACTGATTCAAAATTAGAGAATGCAGCTAAATAATTCGGCATGTCATAATAGTAAACCAAAAACTCGGGTATCATATAACAGTGATAACACCATCCTTGATCATGTAGAGTGACTAACTCAATCAATTTTAAAACCAAAACTCGGGTATTAAGAGTACAAGTCAATCTCATTCGCGTAAATTGGCTCACAAACATGCTAAAAGAGATCCCAATTGCGAAAATTTAAGCAAAATCTATATAATTCATTCTCATTCGCGTAAATTGGCTCACAATGTATAATTCTCCTATGACAATTGACAAAAGAAGCCAACAAAGCGGGTCTACAAACAATTGTACTTGTAAAGCTAACAATTTTTAAACATCAATATCATCATCATCTATATCATCCAATTAATCACTTTTTACTTCCAATTATTAAAAATTTACAAATTCCAGAACCCTTACATAATTTTTACAAAAGTCGATAATTATCTAAGACCCACCAAATTTTAATTTTTTTTTTTTTTTTACCAAACTCTGAATTAACAAACCCCACTTAAAAAACAATAAAAATTCATAAAAAATTCAAAAATTCAAATGTGATTAAAAAGAAAAAGGGGAATTTTACAAACCCTGAGTTGAACACATTTTCTGAGTTGGAAAATCTGGCGATTCTTCTCACATTTAGCAGCAGCAACAGCAACAACAGCAACAATAAGAACACGATGAATAGGGCTAAAGAGTTCCCACCCCACGGCTTCCTCTCGGCTTAAGCCGCCGTCAATGGCTTGAGCCGAGGTAGCTTCATCGGCTCCAACGAGCCGACCTTGGAGAGAAACCCAAGCTAAAGTCTTTTTCTTTGCGCCGGCTCGAATTGGGCTACTCGGCTTGGAGAATTGGCTTGAGAGACGCCGATTGTTGAGTTTTGAAGAGGGTGTTGGAGAGAAAGTTACCAAATGAGCCGGCTTGAAAGCCGCCTCTGTTTCAACTTTGGCGGCTTCCATGAATTGAAGCGAAAATGAGGTTGAATTGAATTTGAATGAAGGAATGAATTAATGTTGTTGTAATAATTGAAGGATAGGAAGAGATTTTGTAACGTTGAGTTATGGAAAGAAATTGAAATGAGAAAGATGGCATATTTTTTTGAAATGTTTGAATGTTTTTTGGATTTATTGGTTTGGGAGGGAAGGTTTGAAAAACGTGGGCCGTGGAGGAGTGGACATTGCGGATTAATGTTGGAGGGTTAGACGGGTGCACGGGTCATCCGTGTTAATATTGTAGACACGACGAAGTAGAGGTGTCGATTCGAATGTTCGGATCAGATCTAATATGGTCAGGTCGGGTCCGATGTAGTCGGGTCGGATTGGATTAATTTTTAAAGTTAAGTCATGCCAAATTATTGTATCCACGCGAGTTTAAATCTGAATCGGATATTTTTCAGGTCGGTTTCGAATCAGGTCGGGTCGGGTGTACTTTTTACACCTTTACGATGAAGGAAATTGGGGCTTCCTCGAAATCCTCCGTCATGTTCATCCCTCATGGTCTTAATGCTATTAAGGATGTTGCTGGCTTGCTGGCTCAAATTAGAGATGGCCTTCTACAGCAATGCCATTTAGTAGTTTACAATGTCAAATGGTTAAGTTTGCTTTATAAAAACTTCATAGTCAAGTATATGAAATATCTTTTACTTCGTATGTTTTAATGTGTAGAAGTGTAGAACTCTACATAATAATGTACTCTAAACTTGCTTTCTCTCTTTTTTAATGAAAATGTTAGGGAGTACATTATATTGATGAATTTGTAGTTTGTGTTATATTTAAGATTTTATCATGAAAATCTAGGTTCAATCTTAAAAAATAAAAATGTTGAATTTAGTTGGTATTATGGCAAAAGTGTAAGTTACGGAGTAAATTTCTTGTGACAAGTTTTTACTTGATGTTTACTTGATTCTAATTATTTTTTAGAGATAAGATAAATAATATTTTTTTAATCTTATCTTTAAAATAAAATAATTTAATAATATTTTCGCTATAATAAACCGAGTTGGTTTTTTTTTTCTTTCCTTTTTTATAACTTTACTTATCTTAAAATGAAATCATTTAATAATACTTTGCAACGTCATCAACTATGACAAAGGTGTGCGTAACAACAAAAACCTTCCAAGGTTCCGGTCCAGGGTGCACATAACAACATAAATGACACCCGTAAATTGGAAGATAATTGAAATTCAGTCAAAAAGTGGAATCCTCAATTGTTCGTTTTGTTTTCTCTCTTTCATTTTATCATATTCGATTAATCTGTAGTAGTTATTTTCCTCTACCCTTTTCACTCTCTCGTGTTTTAATATTTTACCTTCTTTTCTCCTCATTACATATATTCATATAACCCGTACGTTGCCATGGCATAACAAGTCTCCAAATTAACAAAAAAAAAAAAAAAAAATTAGATGTATTTTTTCCTTATATAGCATGTGTATCTCTTCATTGCAATTTCTTGCAGAATTACTAGTTACTATATTCTCCCTCCTTCGCCTCTTCATTGGTAAATTTCCCATCAAGTCATCAAGATCTCTCTAGCTTACAACTATATTAATCATCTTCATGCAAGTTATTGAAAAAAGGTTAGTAAGCTATTAAATACATGTACATTTATTTTATGCTTGCCCTCCCCCCCCCCCCCCAATTTGATTTTGAGCAATTAAATATGAAGAATTTATTGCCTTAAATATGCATATAAAAAGCAAGTTTATCATCACAATTGTTTAGTTATCAAGAAACTTAATTTTTTTTTTTTTTTTTTTTTTTTTTTTTTGTGTAATTGTGTTTTTAAGTTATTAAGGTACTCAACAATGGGGCAGTCATTTGGATGCTTTCAAGTAGCTCATTCAACCATAGCAATCAAAGAAATATGGGGAAGATACGGCGATTTCCTCGAGCCTGGATGCCATTGTGTGCCTTGGTTTCTTGGTTATGAAATAAAAGGCCGTCTTTTCTTAGGTGTAAAACTTAATGTTCGCTGTCAGACCAAAACTAAGGTTAATGTTACATACCAAATCACTAATCATATACTTTTATAGCTATATCAAATTGACAAATTTCTTAATCATTGTAAATCATGTAGTTAAAAATTTTAAATGACATGAATATTATTCTATTGCAAATTCAAAGGGCTATATGTTTTAATTTAGGAATGCAGTATAAGTGGCATAGTTAATCACTGTGATCTCATCAGGATAATGTGTTCGTGACTGTGGTTGCATCAATTATATACCGTGTGATGAAAGAGAATGCGGCAGATGCATTTTATAAACTTAGCAACACCACTACTCAGATCCAAGCCTATGTTATTGATGGTATGTAATGTATAATTATGTAACTGATGAGTGGATATAACACTAAATCTCATGTTTAATTACATGAATATACTAGTACTAGTAATATAAGAAGCTTTAGAGTAACTTTTAACATGATTTTATTATTAAAATCCTCTATTTTATATAACCGGCCTTTAATTTCTGTTGGTAGTTGTTCACGCTAGTGTACCTATAATGGAGCTTGATGCTGTTTTAGAGCAGAGGAACACCATAGCAAAATCTGTGAAAGACGAGCTTGGAAAGGTTTTATAGCATTGCTCCTATAATATAAATAGCTTATTGCATTTACAAGAATATAATGGTCATGGTAGTTCAATATTGCTTACACTGATGGTCAGTTGTAACCCTTGTAATTTGTCACCTCTCTTTAGGCTATGTCAACTTATGGATATAAGATTGTTGATACTTGTATAGTCGACATTGAGCCTGATGCTGAAGTGAAGACTGCTATAAAGGAGATCAATGCAGGTATATTATACCTAGTATAACTTCTTAAGGTTATTAATTGTTACTACTACTATGTTTATTATGTTCACATGTTTTATACATTTCATTTATAAAGCAATCTTTATGTTTAATTTAAATCCTAGTTTATGTTTAGAAAATTAGGACTAAAACAACTCTTGAATATAATCTACCAAAGCACCAAGTAGTAGTTAGTATTAGCATTGTAAATTACATGTTATATACTTACATGTCAATTTAAATGTAGCTTCAAGGCTAAGGGAGGCAACAAATGAAAAGGCGGAAGCAGAGAAAATACAGCAAATCAAGAAAGCCGAGGGGGAAGTAGAGTCCAAGTACTTGGCAGGGCTCCGCATAGCAAGGCAATGCTTGGCGATAGTAGATGAGCTGAAGGACAGCATGCTGAACTTCTCCGAAAATGTGCTCGGTACAACTACTAAGGATATCATGGACACGGTTCTAGTGATGCAGTATTTCAACACGATGAAGGAAATTGGGGCTTCCTCGAAATCCTCGGCCGTGTTCATCCCTCATGGTCCTGGTGCTATTAAGGATGTTGCTGCTCAAATTAGAGATGGCCTACTGCAGGGCAATGTCATTTAGTAGTGTGCAAATGTCAAATGGTTAAGTTTGCTTTATAAAAACTTCGTAAGTCCAGTATATGAAATATCTTCTACTTCGTATGTTTTTGTGTGTATAACTTACATAACGTTATTAACGTACTCTAAGCTTGTTTTCTCTCTTTTTTAATGAAAATGTTAGGGAGTACATTATATTGATGAACTAGATTAGTGCTCGGTAGTAATAATTTTTTTCCCCATAATTAATTGTGATAATATAATATAAAAATGAGCCAACTCATGTATGTGGAATAAACAAATGTAATATAAATTATATTACATTAATGATGCATATTATTCCCAATAAAACTATACAATCTAGTGACTCTATGACTAACGACTTATTTATAAATGTATTTTAATAAACATGAAAAATATTAATCAAACAACAGAATAAAATCTACGGTAAAACTATTAGTACAACATGCATGTAAACATATAAATTACAAATAATATATCACCTTTAATTTATATCCAATAAAATAATTTCAATGGAAATAAATACTACTCGGATTATTAAAGGCAATAATATAATAATCAACAATTAGGCAACACTGACCTATATTATTAGTAGTACATTTTTTGTTTATGAATTGATGCTCTAAATTATAACGTCGTTCTTTGTTATTATATAAAAATGTGTTTGAAGCTATCCAATAATTGTAATTTGATCATTGTTTGTTTATTGCCTTAAAAATTTATTTGTAGATGATAGCTATTTATCGAAAAAAAATGGATACACAAGAAGATGTCACTTGTCACTATGTCCGATGTGTCTTTTACTATGCATCTTATTTATAATGTTGAATGTTTTAATAAATTTATTATCTCAATCACATGTTTCAGCAAAAGATAATAATTTTGTTTGTATTTACTAAGATATTAATTTATTTATTTACGTAATAACAAAAAATGATTGATATTTCGCATTTTCCTAGAATTTAAAATATGATATAGTTGTCGGACACAACATTTACTATATAGTCATATGTGACACTCCATTAGTCTAAGAAACAAAATATTAGATGTATTTCAAAAAAAATTTAAAGTTATATTTTAATGTAATTTCTTTAATATTAATTATATGAATCAGTTTTATTATTACTTTTTGAGCAAAATTTAATAATACTCCGTCTAAAAGATGTCAGACGGTAATAATAGTATCTTGTACCTGAACCAGTGACTCACTATTTCTATAATTAAAAAAGAGTTAGAATACTATTTAGGTAAATGTGTATGGAAGATTTAAGGACATGAAATTAAAAGAAAGACATTTTATGTAAAGATAATATATAAGATTTGAAATAATATTACTATAGTTGTATTATGCAAATATGCTAAAAGGGGAGGGGGGTTTTGGAGGGAAAAAACAACACCAAAAAGTGAAAGGTGTCATTCCTGGTGTCTGTTTTAGTATTATGTTATTGATTTATAGTTTGTGTTATATTTAAGATTTTATCATGAAAATCTAGGTTCAATCTTAAAAAATAAAAATGTTCAATTTAGTTGACATTATATTATGGCAAAAGTGTATGTTACAGAGTAAAATTCTTGTGACACGTTCTTTCTTGATGTTTACTTTCAGAGATAAGACAAATAACATTTTTTTTTTAATCTTATCTTTAAAATAAAATAATTTAATAATATTTTCGCTATAATAAGATGAATTGATTTGTTGTTTTTTCCTTTTGCTTATCTTAAAATGAAATCATTTAATAATACTTTAGCTATGATAAGATGAATTGGTTTTTTTTATTCCTTTTTTATAACTTCACTTGTGATATCTGATATGGTTGCTTTCCTAGGACTTTTCTAGGAAGCTAGCTTCATCAAATATCTCCCAATATCTTATTCCACAACCTCCTAAAAAAAAAAAAAGACATTCCACAAATAATTTTTTTTTTTTTTTTTTTTGACAAAAGAGCTATTATATAAAAGGAAAACAAACAAATACAACAACTGTCAACAAAAAGCTAAAACAAAAAATACAACTGACGACGTCGAGCACAACCAGCCAACCAGTGGGCAGGAGTAACCCACAAACAAGGAACTTTTTGAACCTGGCAAACCAAAAGGGAATGAATCGAAGCTGGCCCGCAACTCCTGAATGAGCCACCAAGCAGAAATTTCCATTGAACCTGAAGGGGGAAGAAGAGCAAGGAGGGCAGCACAATCTGTATAAACTCGAATTTTCAAGAAGCCTCTACAGATAGAAAACTCCAAACCCCAGACACAGGCCTGAAGCTCAAAATGCAACGCTAAAATTGCCATAAAAGCCCGACATCCACCTCCCAATACCTCAGAAGAATGAAGATCATGGACTATCCAGCCTGCTCCAGCCCTATAAGTAGAATAATCTCAGGCCCCACCTATAATCAAACAAGTCGTTGGAGAAATAATATAAGGTAACCCCCGCACACAAAGCCACTGGACATCCTACCTAGCCTCCAAACAAACCAAACAAGAAGACTTTGAAGACCTCTTCCAATACAGAGTCTGCATACTACGAAGAAACCACTCTAACGCCAAACCAACAATAATCCCAGGAGACCAAACAGCTTTCCTAAACCTCAACTGATTACGAGAAATCCAAATCGCCCAGAGAAGAACAAATAAGGAAGCAATACCCTTCTAGTCTCTCAATGACGAAAAATGAGAAATTGTACTCGAGAACCAAACACTAAACGAAGGAAACTGCATAAGATCCCATTAAATGCCCAACGCTCCAAACAGCCAAAGACTGCAGATAGCAGGACAATCTCTGAATATATGAGACACAGATTCCACATCTACGTGACAAAAAGCAGAAACTGGATCAATCGAGATGCCTCGAGAATGGAGAATAGCCGCTAAAGGAAGAGTGTCATGCAGCAATTTCCAACCAAAGATTTTCCACCGAGGAAGAATTGGTAAAGCCCAAAACTTCCTCCACCATACTCGAGAAATTTGAGATTGACTACTAGACATAACCCTAGGCTCACAAAGAAGTGCATAAGCAGATTTTGTTGAAAGAACACCATCCCAGTGAATTTCCAGTGAACAAAATCATCCATCAACCGCACTAGCCAATCCAACGAAAGAATTCTAGCAGCAGAGCTAGAATCAAACAGCCCATGAATAATAGAAGCATCCCATGCGCAAGAAAGCGGATCAACTAAAGAAGACACAAGATTCGGTCGAACTGACTCAGTCAAAAGATCCTTAAAATGAACCAGTCCCCTCGGAACCCAGAAATCCTCCAAAATACGAACACAAGAACCTGAACCAACCTTCCAAAACAGCCCCTATGACAATGCAGACAATCCCGAAATAAGACCCCTACAACCCCAAAAGGGACAAGAAACCGAGATCGAGTTAATGGAACGAAGAGCCGGATATTTCGCAAATAGAAGTCGGGAAACCAACAACTAAGGGCACTGAATAAGCCGCCAACGCTGCTTAGTCAACATGGAAGAGTTAAAAGGGGCAATACTGCGAATTCCCAATCCTCCTAAACCCTTTGGAAGATGGAGCAACAACGAAGAACGAAGAGCTAATCCTCGATTAGAAGAAGAGGACTTCCACCAAAACCTGGCTAACAAATTATCTATTTTAGAACATATAGAATCAGGAATTTTGAAAACAGACAAAATGTGATAATAACAAGCTTCGCAGCCGGCGAAAGCTGCAGAGCTGCAAAGGTCTGTAGACGTTTGGCCACCTTGTCCAAGAGGAACCCAAACTCAGAGCATTTACTACAGCCCAAATCAACAGGAAGCCCCAAATAAGAACCCAATCTAGATTCAGACCGCAGTTTCATACAACCAGACAGATAAGCTCGATAATCCTCTGGAGTATTAAGATTAAACTTGACAAAAGACTTCTGCAAATTAAGCATTTGACTTGAAATATCACATAATGCATAAAGCACATTCAACACCTGTTTACACGCAGGAGGAGAGACTTGGAAAAATAGCAAGGAGTCATTAGCAAAGAACAGGTGTGAAATGGCAGGAGCCCCCCTGGATATTTTATTACCCTAAAAAAGGCCTTCAATTGCTAAAAGAACCTCCATGCACAAAACAAACAAGTAGGGAGATAGAGGATCTTCCTGAGGCCACACTGAGGACGAAAACCCTCTGTAGGTGAACCATTAACCAACACCTGATAAGAGACTGTAGAAACACACTGCATAATCAGATGAATCCAATAGGGAGGAAACCCAAAAACCTGAAGAACCCGACCTAGAAAGTCCCATTCAACTTTGTCATGAGCTTTGTACATGTCTATCTTCAAGGTTGCATAAAAATGTTTCCTAGCTTTAGAAGCATTCATAAATGAAAGGATCTCATGCATCATCGGCAATTATCAGACATCAACCTACCAGGGACAAAGGCATTCTGAAAATCCGAAACTATGTCTGGCAGAAACCAAAGCAGACGACGAGCAAGACACTTAGCTATGCATTTATAAATGACATTATAGAGACTTATCGGTCTAAATTGAGAAACAAGTTCAGGGTGATCTACTTTAGGGAGCAAAACTAAGAACGTCCGATTCCAGTTCTTAAGTACATAGCCATGAGCAAAAAAGAACTGAACAACATTCACAACATGATCACCCACCTCAGTCCAATAGGTCTTAAAAAAGGCCGAAGTAAAACCCCGGAGACTTACCATCAGCAATACTAAACATCGCCAGCCTATTATCATCAACCGAAAAGGGAGCTAGCAGGAACTGACGATGTCTGTCAGACAAAGAAGGGAGGTGAAGGGAATCCCAAGGGAACTGAGAAACAGAAGGCCGGTCTGAATTCCTACTACACAGTGACCTATAAAAATCCAGAACCAAAGAGCGAATGTCCCCCGCATTTGAAACCCAAGAACCGTCGTTGCCCTTATGACCAAGAATAGTGTTCTTCCGACGTCGAGCCTGAACTGCAGAAAAAAGCAACCGAGTATGCTCATCACCAAATGCATCCCTTCAGTTTTGCTCGTTGTGTCT